GTCATTTTTCATGCATGCATCGCTTGGAATAATTGTGGTTTATATGTAATGTAAATAGCATGATGGAAATTTATCTCAAGTTCCTCTCTTTTCTCATCCCTGATGGTCTGGTCTTTCCCCAGCTGTTCTTCTCAAGCTCTCAGCTTTGTAGAGTTTTGTGGGGGTTGTTTCATATGTAGGCTACAGCACAGCATGTTAACAGTACAACAAAATATTACTTGGGGTTTAAACACTCACATATTTCTGGCAGAGATGTTCCTAAAGATGCAACAGTTGCATCTTCATCCTTGTATTGCCAGAAGTTACTACTTTAATAGTATTTAATATTTTCTTTGATGCATTTAAAATATGTTTCTTTTTAATATCTTCTCATCCTTTAAATAAGCTTTCTGGTGATCTTTTTGCCTGTAATTCATGAATCCTTACGTATTCAAGTGGTATTGTGTTTTGCAGTGGAATAAATTTTTGCTTGAACAAATCCCAAGCAAAATTTGAGTTCTTAGCCTGCAGTGGTAGTAGCAAAAGCATCCCTAATACATCTTATGTTAATAGACTTTCAGGGATTACTTCGGTTTCTTTCAAGTTTTTTCCAAAGTTAAATACTGTCTTTCCTGTAATGTAGCTTTTATTGGTTTGAGATGTACTCTCTGTGGAACCTGTAAGTTATGTGAATGTAATGCTTGTAATTTTTATATATTTATAAGCTTGTACTTTAAATAAACATGAAAGCTGTTATGTTGCTTGACTAAGATCTCACAAGTAACCGAGTGGCTATCAGCTCGGACATCAGAAATATACGGGCTTGACAGCTAGACACCAGCTGATCCAACTTTTGGAAGGATGTTTATACTGTGGCCTCTAAAATGCTGAAGGCTGAAGGTCAGTTCTGAAGATTGATGTAGAAGAAATGCTATTGCTTTAAAAATTCATGGAATTTGTGGACAAAAGAAACCTCAGGAAATACATTACTGAACAACAACAACAAACTTTCTCTTAATTTAGGTTTTTGCTGAGAGTCTTTATTTCTGGCATCTAGTGTGTCATATTGGAAATTATTCAGTTGTTCAGAAAGTTCCTTTCTTCAGTCAACACTTCAGTTTAGTGTAGAATATGTAGTGGTTGTCAGTATGTTCTAATCAACAGGGGATATCTCCCTCGTATAGTCGGCACTCTCCAGCTCTTGTACGTCCTCTGAAGTGCTTATTCCGGGTCCTGTTTGTGTCAGTCCTCAGAGTCGGCTATTTATTGTTTTGATGGCAACCAGAACCAGAGCAGAGCTTCAGTCTGATGTTCTCAATCTTCTCCTTAATTACGGAATAAGCAATATAGCTTTGTGGATAAGTAGAAATGTTTCTCAGGACTTTTGTTTCCTTTAATTCTTTCTGTACGTTCGTCTAATGCCAAGGAAGAAATGGAGACTACTCAAACTTTTGAGATGATAGTTATAAATAGTTTTTCTCCTTTTGAACAGCTTGAGGAAATCACAAATTACCTATTATTGAAGGTAAGTATTAAAACTAGAAAGGACACTTGTTCTGGCAGTGTCAGCTGAAACTAGGGACATTCAAGTATTCTGTCTTAGGCAGCTTGCGGGACTCAAAGCAATTCCGTTCTGTCCAAACAAACCGCAGTCGCGGTATTAGGCAATGCCAGATATGCACGTCAGGCTGTTTATGCAACAGCAGTATAAATTCCTGCATGCATTGTTCTTTCTGGGTCATCTGACAGTGTGATAGTCTGTGTCATAATTATGATATATTTGTGCCACAGTTAATATTTGCATAGAAAGTACATATGCAGGGGACTAGAACTGTATGTACTCTAACGATTTGAAGAGTGACTAGACTTCCTTTCAAACACACAGCTGTTTCTCAGAAGATGAAACTCACAGGTCTGAGATAAGAGAATGTGTATTAATGCTATACGGTGAGTTCAGGTTGAGAAGGGATGATGAAACAGTGTCTGGTCCTTAATGTTTTCTTCAGCCTCTTCTCAAGGCTTGAGGTAGAAACTTGAAAAATACAGAACTTTCCATGTAGGTCTGATGTCCTTTGCAGAATTGTGTGATGTCTGTGCTTTTAAATTCTAAATTTTGATGTTGACATAGTGAAGTTTAAATTATTTGTTCTGAAAAGGGCAAAAAATCACCAATAAAATCTGTTCATATCAAGCTCTGTTACAAACACTTTGAATACCTGAAGTCATTTCAGCCATCCATAACCAGACGTAAAGGTGCACAGAGAAGGGTTGTGAAGAATTGCAGCTTTAGAACTGCATTCTGGTTTACCTGTGCTTGTATTGAAGCAAAAGGGGTGTGTGCTGTCCCTTGTCTGGGAGTTTGGGAAAGTCCCACGGGTGGGATATTAAAGGTACAGAAGAGTTTGGACACCCAAGTAGAGTTCTGCAGGGAATGGTCATAGTAGTCAGTTTCTCTGTCAGCTTCTGTAAAGCAGGCTTTTGCCTTTCTCGCTTTACCTTGAACTTAGAAACCATTTGTAATTTATTTTGTGTGTTTAAAAGTTCCAGTAGCTATATTTATGGATGACGGTGTTTTCATAAATGTGTTTCTAGGAATTTTTACTTGAAAATCATAGGCCAATTTTTTTTAATCATAGATTCACAGGATGGTTTGGGTTGGAAGGGACCTTAAAGCCCATCCAGTTCCAACCCCCCTGCCATGGGCAGGGACACCTTCCACTAGACCAGGTTGCTCCAAGCCTCATCCAGCCTGGCCTTGGACACTTCCAGGGATGGGGCATCGACAGCTTCTCTGGGCAACCTGTCCCAGTGCTTCTCCACCCTCTCTGTGAAGAACTTCTTCCTGATAGCCAATCTAACCCTCCCCACTTTCAATTTAAACCCATTACCCCTTGTCCTGTCACTCCAGGCCCTTGTGAAAAGTCCCCCCCAGCTTCCTTGTAGCCCCTTCAGGCACTGGAAGGGGCTGTAAGGGTTCCCCGGAGCCTTCTCTTCTCCAGGCTGAACAAGGACGCAATTCATTTCAGGACGCAAATGAAATGCCACAGTGAAATATTTATGTGAGCATACTTAAGTATGTTAAAGAAAAAATTAAAAAAATTAGCAGTTGAAAAAGGGAAAGAAATCAAGAGTGTAAAAAAAAAAAAAGTCATTTGCTGGTTAACTGGGGGGACTATACTGAATCTTTTTTCCAATGTGCAGATTTTGTTTAGGAAGAGGGATTACGGAGATGGATTCTGCATCTGTGATGATGGTATTACTGTCTCTTCCATAACAACTTTTAAAAGCCCAATGCATTGGTATTTCCAAAGGAGTTCCCTGTAGGTATATGTTGCGCAATGCATTTTTTGTCTTTTCAGTCACGTGTATGTTGTAGAATAAAGTTTACCAGGTTAAGCTTGGAATTTGCAGGCAGCATCTTTTGACTGTGCGTGTTTTAGTTGCGTGTTAGAATTTGCAGATGTGCTACTGTAATTAGTTGACGTGTCCGTTTGGTTTTAAGCATGTGTGTTCTGTCACTTTGAATTTTACTGCAAAATATCTCCATCTTAATCTTTTACTTGATACGCAGTGTATTGTCTGTTCAGCAGTATTTGGAAAATTTTGAGAGGCAGTGTTTGTGCACTCAGTGTGTTTCCACAGTCTGTTCTTAGTTGGCCATTTGTCTTGATCATCACTGGTGCATCTGTACTAATTACAGTTTATTAGACATGACTCCTCTTTGCTAGTGTTTGCCTTATTTTAGACAATAGAGAAGACTGTATTTACTAGCATTTCAGTGTTTTCATATACAAGTGCTTCTGAAATGTTCACAGGCCATTGGGTGTGTATTTATTTTCACATCCTAAGTTGCACTGCTGCCACACGTGTTTTTCCCTATAAAAGAGAGCTTTCCTACAAAGCGCTCTTGTAAAATATGGGCTTGCTCACACTCACGCTTGGTATTAATAATGATTTCTAACGTAGTTCATTTTGCCACAGTAGGTAGAAAAGGTTATGCTCAGTATCTTTTATTCTATCCAGAGTATGGTCACTGGGTTGACAGAAAGCTTAAATGCCTTTTATGCTGACTACTTTTAGTGAGGCTATAGACAGACAGTGGAAATGGTTTAGGATGTAGTGGCTCTTTCAGATATCCCGTACAATCATATCTTCCTGACAGAAACCCCAGATTTATAAATACATTCTTTGATATTGACTAGTCTCAATGTTCACAGTAGTAACAGACACACAGTAACTGCCGTGAGCTAGCTGAATTCCTGATCCCTGATGACTTCTCGCTCAGTGTCCTATTTTACTCTGGTTCAGTTTTGTTCCCTGAAAGCTTTACTGAATTTGAAAGGAAAGCCTTTTGAGGGCTTTGAGCCCAAGGGCTCAGCTTTTAGAAAATTCCGTTTCTAATCCTCTGAGACTTCTAGCAGAGCTATAGGGAAAGGGCTGTTTGAGTTCTGTTCTGAGAGATTTGAAGGTGGGTATAAATGAAATCCCTGGGATGTAGTTTAAGTAGATGAATACTTGTAAAGGTCTGAGTTCTTCAGCAGTGAAGTGTCAAGGATGCTGTATTGCTCTGAATAAATAACCTGTGTATTCTGATAGATGCCAGGGTTGTGCATTGTCTGTCACAATTAAATACTGACTTGAAATTTGACATGTTTTGCTGGGTTCTGTTTCCGCTTGGCGCTTTGTTTTTTCATGTCTGTCATTTAAAAAACCCCAAACAATCACTTTCTGAAAACATAGTGTATTACAAACAGGTTTTTCCCTTTGCTGACCAAAGATACCTAAACTCAGATAACTGCCTCTAGAGACAAAGGAGTTCTCAAAAGTACTGGTCAAACATCTTCTATCCTAACATTTGACAGTGCGACGTTTCAAGTGTTTGAACTTAAGCCTGCTTAGCATGACTGTACAACTGGCTTTAGACATCTGAAATGAGTACTTCATGTCAAGTGTTCATATGAATTTACGCTTGCTATATCCCAGTATTTGGTGTGTTTATATTTCTGTCTGGTTTATTTCAGGAATTTGCAGCACTTACAAAAGAGCTAAATGTTTGCAGGGAGCAGCTGCTTGAAAGGGAAGAAGAAATCGCTGAACTGAAAGCAGAAAGAAATAATACGAGGGTGAGTTCCTTCTCATTTCCAAGATTACTGCTATTAAAGCATTCCGCTTCATGGGGAAAAAGATGGAATGTTGAATTTGAAAAGCTAACTATTTTCCGTTATTTGCGCACAAATCCCCTGGAAGCGGGAATGTGTGTTAAAGTTTGGGAGCTTACGCACAGCTCCAGATACCACTGTGCGGAATCAGGAAAAGCTTGTTAAGACTGCACTGCTACCTGTCACTCAGCTTTCTGGGGTGAAGTTTTGTAATAATACAACACGTGAGATCAGAGGAGTAGAGCGGGCAAGCTGTAGTGATCTGTTCCAGCAGAACAATCGCTCTCCAATTTCGAGCGTTTCCTGTGTGTATCCTTCTAACAGGTGTGCCGTTCCTCAGATTGGTGGCGGAGCTGAAAAGACCTGGTGAAGCAGAAACCTCGTTTAAAAATGAGAGCGAAAGAGAGAAGTAGGAAATGCATTAGCTCTGATAAAACTTTTAACACAGATAACATGTTAAAACCAGGTCTTCGTGCTTGCTGCAGTAGTTTTTGGCTCTCACGTTTGAAGCTTAGAACTCAAAACTTGATGTTTCAGGAGGCAAAGTTTTCTGCAGCTATGTGGGACAGGAATAAACATTCCTTTTTTTTTTTTGTAGCTATTACTGGAACATTTGGAGTGTCTTGTTTCCAGGCATGAGCGGTCTCTCAGAATGACTGTTGTAAAGAGACAAGCTCAGTCTCCAGCAGGAGTTTCTAGTGAAGTAGAAGTTCTCAAAGCACTAAAATCTTTATTTGAACACCATAAAGCCCTTGATGAAAAGGTAAGGAAGTACAGTAGCTAACATCATCTCATCCTGTCCCCTCTTTCTTTTGTGTGGACCATGCTGTTGTTTGTACTAAAGTTGTAGAAGTCAGGTTCTCTGAACTTGTGTGTTGATAGTGGCTTTGCTGGACCTGCCCTCTTAAGTTAATATGCTGCACTAAAGCCAGGTGCTTTTTAACTGTGCTAAGGGTAAAATGAGCGTGGTTCAGGGGCAATATATTTGTGATAGGAATGCATCAGCTTGTTTACCTGTGTAATGTCAGGGTTTCTCTTTCTGATGATGTAATACAAGAAACGGACTAGAGAGAAGAGGAAGAGAGGAATCTGCTTACACCGTAGTATCGCATAAAGCTGAATTAAAGGAACCCCACCCTTCAGTTGTGCCTGATGTTGGCAGCAGGATATGCAAGTGGTAAAGTTGATTGTGAATGTTGTGGCCAGCTCACAGTTTGCCAACCTTTTGTGACTCCTGTATATGGAGTCCAGCCAATTATTTCAAGTGGAATTCTGTGTCATCTTCAGCATACACACCCGGTGCTTTACCAAAGGATAAGCAGATTCTAGCTGTGTTTAATTCTTGCCTAAATGTACAGGTCATGTTGATTAGCTTATGACAAAAAAGGAAAAGGTAGGTTTTGAGATATGTAATGTTTCTCTAGAAGGGTTTTTGTAGAATATGTTTTAATTAGAGACCTGCTTGATTCAGTACTAAGCGTAATGGAGATAGTCATTTATGATCTGAGAGGGCATGGCAATAAGTGAAATGGATTTATTTTGAATGATTTCAGATTATTTGAAATTACTCTTTCAGGTAAGGGAGAGGTTACGAGTAGCACTTGAAAGATGTAGCTTGTTGGAAGAAGAACTAGGTACTACGCATAAGGAGGTAGGTTTTCATGCCAGTCTTCATGTGTGCATTGTGGTTTTTTAGTCAATATTTGTACACAGTTATTTATTCAGTTAGTAAAGTTCACTTTTACTTCTTGATGTTGTGGCAGTGTTTTTTTTAACCAAATGAGGTAACTCTAATCTTTAACTTAGTCACTTTGAAAGGGCAGGAAAGGAAAACCAAAAAAACCGCTAACGGTGTGTTGCCCTGCGCCCCGTCCCCTCCACCCAAGAGTTCCTGTGGCTTCAAAATAAGCATTCGTGGGTTGCAATGGCAGAAGATTTTTTCAGTGCCTGTGCCATATTTTATTAATACATACCTTGCAGTCGAATCAGTAATTGTTATTTTGCTCCTTTGTTTTTGCAGCTGTTCCTTATTTTATTAGTGAGAAAGGAATTGAGTGAAAACATACGTATATAAACTTTTATTTTCTTTTAGTTAATGATTCTGAAGGAGCAAAATAATCAGAAGAAAACAATTCCAGATGGGATGCTGGATATAAATCACGAACAAGAAAATACACCAACTACAAATGGGAAGGTACAGCTACTTACTTTTTTTAGCTGATATCTGATTTTTTTAATCAACTGTAATATTTTAATTTTAAAATATAATAAAAGCTTTTGGGGTCATGATATAATTAAAACTTGTCAGTTACCACAATTTCAGTTTTTGCAGGCTATCCAGTAATAAAATTAACTTGGGGGAAGGGTGTGTACAGCTAAGTAACAGTTTGGTTTTCAGATTTCTGTAACGTGCACATATTTTTTTTTTTCCCTGTTTAATAGCGATCCTCTAATGGTTCCTTGTGCAACGATGAAAACCTTGCTAAAGTGATTGAACTCCAAGACATCATAGATAAGCAAAACAAAGAGCAGACACAAATGAAAGAACGTCTCACCGCTTTGTCTAGCAGAGTAACAGAGCTGGAAGAAGATCTTGACACAGCTAGAAAAGACTTAATAAAATCTGAAGAAATGAATACAAAGTTACAGAGAGATGTACGAGAGGTGAGGAAGAAACACAAAATCTGGGTAGTCAAATGCAGCTGCTTTTGAAAATTTCATTGTCATTGGAGCTCAGTTACACCTTTGTGCTTTTCACTGTCTTTGGTTTGATAGGTGAGAAGAAAATTGTTTAGAGCATGATGGTGCTGTTTTTTGTTTAGAAGGCTGGTTCCTTAATTCCTGGTCTTCAGAATGAATCTGTGACTAGATACTTGAGGAATATATTAAATTAGAGTTTTAGCATTGCAAATTTTAACATGTTCTTGACAAGATGCTTGATCTTGTCATGAATGCTAAGCTTATTCATGAAGCTGAAATTTTTTTGAGGATGTATGTGGCTAAGGAATTGCTTTAATTTCAGTGGTGTGGTTGACAGTTCCTGTTACTGATCAGTCACTGATCTCCAAGGTCCTATGTATTCCAGTGTAGTGTACCCTTATTAAATAGAGAGGGAGCTTAGTTACATCCAAGAACACTGTCTGACCATCCCCAGGAAGTAAAGATTTGTTGTGTTTTGCCATTGAAAAGGTAAGTAGCAGATCTGTGGGGCAATGTAATAAAGCCCAGGCTTGTTAAGCATTCACCATTTAAAAGAAGAAGTAATTGAACTTCTAAACTGAAGTCAGACTATTCTTTCTACTTTTTTTTTAAATACTGAAAGCAATAACAGAATATATCTGATTTATTTTTATTATTTTTGGTTTGTGGTTTTTTTCCCACCCAGTCCAATCACTATATAATTATCCCTTATGTTCTGTCTTGTATTTTGCATAGACTCTGGCCCAAAAGGAAGACATGGAAGAGAGAATTACAACTCTTGAGAAACGCTACCTCGCCGCACAACGTGAAGCTACATCTGTGCATGACCTCAATGATAAACTTGAAAATGAAATTGCCACTAAAGACTCCATGCATCGACAGGTTGTAATTTGAAACGAGATAAAGTACCTTTTGCTCAGCATAAAACTAATGGAAATAATTAGTGTTCGAACTGTACTAAAGCACTTTGCTTTTAGGAAGATAGGTATCATCTGTAATGTGCTGGTTTTACTGACTGCTTTTTAGTAACTGGGGGAGTGCATTGTTCTAGTTTCACCCTGGAAATGAAGATGAGACAGTTTACTGGAGAGAGGAAATTGTTTTGAGCATTCTGGTGCACTTGATCATAGTGCAGCAGGGCTGATGTCCCTGTTAATTGTGGATTGTTAAATAGCTATGTGTGTATCCAAGCATCTTTAGTTTCATGTGTGAGAATTACTCATTCTAAGCTAAAACAGTTTTAAAACTTGTGTAGTGATGTTTACTTCCACTATAGGCTATAAATATCAGCTTACTGCAGGAGGATGTTTGACAGATGCTTGCCATGAAGTAGCCCAGCTTAAACCCAGAAATGGTGGTTTTAGCTGATCACTTTCTAACTAGAGGAAGCCAGGCAACCCTTAGTCAGCAAGAAAAGTCCCCTTCAGTATAATGTTTAGAAGAAGTTGTACACACTTCAAATGAAAATAAATTCTGTGCTAATATGCATATGATATGAAGAAATTTCTTCCTTGATGTAATGGAAAGGTTGATGTTTCAACTTGACATTGAAAATTCACAACTTTTCCCATACCGTAGCTGTTTGGTGATATAAGCTGCTTTCAGAATACACAGAGTTGCAGAAAAATTGTAGCGGAAAAAAGCGCTCTCATGTAATCAAGGGGAGGATGCCATGTCATTGGTTACGAAACCGGTTTTGGACAGCTTGTTCTCCGTAGGTCTAGTAAGGGTGGTGAGCTGTATCCTTACCTTCCTCTTTGACTAAAATTAATTACCATTTGAATACTCAATATTTGCTGATTATAATCCTCTGTAGAGTGAAGATAAGAATAGGCAATTGCAAGAACGACTGGAACTAGCTGAGCAAAAGCTGCAGCAGACTTTGAGAAAAGCTGAAACTTTGCCAGAGGTGGAAGCTGAGCTGGCACAGAGAGTTGCAGCACTTTCAAAGGTGAGTCAGTTGGACCTTGACCTCCAGACTGTCTTCTCCGTTGGCATCCTGCTACAAGACATCTGTTCTTAGTGTTGGATTGGTTACATTGTGCTTCTGTTTTTCCTTCAGCGAGTTCAGGAAAGGTTTCTTCATGTTTTAAGCATTTTCTGTTCATCTCTGTGAACATGTTCTAATTTACTCTTTGAATTTCTACTCTTTGGAATTTAGGTTTTCCCTTAACTCTGTTACATTATGAAAATGTGTCTGAATTATTATTTTGTTCCTTTTATTAAAATCCATTCAATAATAGGCATAAAGTCTTCTAAAACAAGAACCATTTATAGGGAGAAACCCAAGTTTCTTCCACTGTTAACCATGTGAGAAATGTGGGGAGAGAGGTAATGGTACTCATTAAGCCTTTTAGATCTGCCAGTGGAATAATGAAGTCTGAAGTATAATGCAGTAAATGCAAATGAGCCTTTTCGAGAGTGTGTGCGTGTGTTTGCTTTTCAAGTCGCAGTTTCATTTCTTTCCCTGTTATCTTTCCTGTCCTTAACTGGCTCTGTAGTCTGACCTTTTGTCTCCTGGGAACTCTGCTGCTAAAGATGCTAAAGTACTGGAACTTACCACCAAGCTTAGGAAGGTAGAATTTGTATATTAGTCCTTGTTTCTGCTTGCTGCTTTCTGCTTTGTCATGATTACTAACAAAGGGTCATATTGTCCAGGCTAGTGAGGAAAAGCTGAAAATACATTTAATTTTCATTTATTTATTTTTAGTTCTTGGGAATTTGAATTAACTTCTATTTTTGCAAGTTCATTTGCAAATAGTAGTTGATTCATGGTGCTTTGGGGTAAGAGGCTTCATCATTTTGTTACTTACCATATGAACTCTTACTCTGTCATTCTAATGACAGAAAGGCATCTCTTCTGCATTGTGTATTACCATAAATGGCAGTTGCGCAAAGCATGTTAGATACATTATTGTGCTTCAATGTTTCTATGCTTCTGAAACCTGTTTAAAAAAAAAAAACACAACTAATTTTGTTTTCAAATTGACAGGCTGAGGAGAGACATGGCAATATAGAGGAACGACTGAGACAGATGGAAGCACAGCTAGAAGAAAAGAATCAAGAACTGCAAAGGGTACTGTTCATATTTTTGACAAAGATACAAAGCTGAAAAAAGAATCTAATCCCCTTCATGGCTGCCTACCTCTCAGCAAAGCTGGTTTTATTTCTCATCTCTAAAATAAAGCCAGAGTTCAGGCTAGCTGATGGTTGGGAGATTTGAGCCACTGTACTATGAGTAACTTTAAATCTCACAAAAGCTGGAAGCCTCCAGTCAGTTTCAAATGTGTTTGGAATTACCTAATTGCTACTCATACTTGCTGATGAGGAGACAGATCAAAAACTTGTTGAATTAAATGACTGTGGAAAAATTGGTTCCTAGGTTACAAATAATGGAATTGGTTCTGAAATCTGCTTTTTCTTCAATTGTAAGCTCAGATATTCAAGCTTCTGGTCTTGGAACAGTTACTGAAGTGTCCCTTGCACTCCCTTACAGAGTAATTTTGGGGTACATGCAATATTCCTAATTCTTTAAGAAAAAAATTATTTCTGTTAAAGAAAACACACTTGGATTGAAGAAAAGTTACTGTTTTTACAACCTGGAAATTGTTAAAGACATTGTGCATTTTAAGTTATTTCAGTAGCTTTTGTGTATCTTAGGCTAGACAGAGAGAGAAGATGAATGAAGAGCATAATAAACGTTTGTCAGAAACTGTTGATAAGCTGCTGTCGGAATCTAATGAAAGGCTTCAGCTTCACCTCAAGGAAAGGATGGCTGCCTTGGAAGATAAGGTAACAAGTCACATGCTAGCATATACATTAGTTGGATGTTCAACGTTCTGTAGTGATTTGTGTATTTTGTGATGTGTCTGTGACTTCCTGTAAATAAATACTAAATCCTTATTAATAAGCAGTTTCTGTTAAGTGTGAATTAAGTGTGAATTTTGAAAAGAAGTTCTTAATGTTTTTTTTTTGAGTTGGTCTCCTTGTACTGCAGTGTTGAGAAGACATCTTTTAGGAAGCTTTATCCTTTCTTAGTTGACTGGGGTGGACTGCATAATAGGCTCACCCAATGTAATACAAGAAGTATAAAGAATCGGGACTAGAACTGTGACCTTTTCAGTGCAGTTTCTTTTATTTCCCAATGCTTTTTCGTCTGTACCAGTTGCCCTGAGTAATTCTGGGATTCTTCCAAGTTGAAACAGTCTTGCATTATCTCCCCAGGTAGATTATTTTGAGACCGGTGGTATGCATGTAAATGGGCTGTTCCATGGGTGTTCGGTGCACATCAGAGCTTTCCCCTGTATTCAATTAATCTTTTAAATTGTGATATACTTTACGCTGTTTCTTTTCCTTCTGCTGTTGAGTGTAGGTATATGGCTTTTTTTCCATGCATGTCTTTAACAGTTCCCTTATTCTGCATCACACTTTGCTTGATGCTGACTTTGAACTGCTTTGTCTTGGATTAGAAAAAAACACTTATTTTCTTTGACTAGATGGTGAAATGACTATCTGGGGGAATGTTTCCATAAAAGCTGAGTGGCTTTTGTTTTAAAGTCATGGCAAAAAAATTATTCAGTTGCAATATATAATGATGTACTCAGACTTTAATAAATACTTACTTCCTCTTGCATCCATGTCAGCTCAGTTCTCATCCCCAAACATCAGTTAGCTATCTTTCTAGAATTCCAGGATTGTGCTCCCCATGGCTCGTTAGAGAGATCTAGTTTGTTGTTTTCCCTGCACTATTGGAGCTGAGGGGAATTGTAGTGCAGTACAAATGTAGGTTCTACTGATTCTCATCCTTTGAGTTAGTGATAAAGGTGCTTATCATCTGGCATCTAAGGCTACAAACTTTGCCTTGTGGTTTTTAGTTAACATCACTATTTTCAAGATCACCCACTGCTCCTAATACCTCAGAAATTCTTGTTATGGACCTTGTTATGACATCAACAAGGTTGTTCTAACAGTCCTTATAAATTCAATTTCTGAAAATCAGCTTGAATACTGGGGAGGTGGGTGTCTTTGGGTTAACCCTGACTCCCCTTTACTCTCCAAACCCTGACTACGTTCACGAGTAATGAGGAAAACTTGGTGGATCTTCACTGTAAGTAACAGCTCCTAGAAGTGTTTATTCTTGCTGTGGCTTCAGGCTCATTCTTTTATGATAAGTTGGGAAGAAACATGCAGATAAAATTTTAAGACTTTGTTCTGATCACTTGGTCTTTTTTCCTGGAATGATTTGTTTCTTCATGTACGAAACTTTGACACAGTTAAGATGCGAATAGTGGCATTACTTACCATTAACACGTGTTTAGCAGAACTTGCTGTCAATGGTGGAAAACGAAAAGAAAGTGAGACAATTACAAGTTTCCTATTAGAAGGGGGAATTTCTTTTTCTTTTTTTTTTTTAAATCTTTAAAATTTTTTCCCCCTTGGTATCGCATACTACAGTCAAATACAATAGTTGAAATTCTTTGATTATTGTAGCCCTCCAGTGTTTCTTAATTCTCAGATGATTCTTAATCTGAATTTGGAAACTGCTTTGAATAAAGAGACTGTAGTAGTCTTAAGCATTTGTATTTACTAGAATTGTTAGGAAGTCCTGGTATAACTGTAAAGATGACAGCTTTGATGTTAATGAAGGCATTTGAGTCTCAGTGTGTGGTGCAGTGCTGGAGGTACAGTATATCCAAGAAATTAATGTATAGTGATTTTGTAGGTCAGGCAACTGAAAATACAATTAAAACCTAAAGATAACAGCCAGTAATGCCTTAGTAACCATTTAGTGAATTACTTTCAGTTATTTTAGCCACCTAATTGTTCCTTTTTTTTCCACTAGTTTTGTCAAGTGGAGCTTTAAAAGGCTGGTATTGGTATCAAATTTTTATGGAACTTGTACTATTACTAAATCGTTATTTAGAGGGCTGTACACCTGAGAGGATAAACCTTCAACTGTAATCAAAGTGAAATGATGTAAGCAATGAAGTATCTGTAACTTAAGATACATCTGTATGGTGTTGACAATTTTTTTGATACTTGCTTGGTTATGGTCTAAGAGTTTAAAGCTTTTATAAGTAACTTAATTTGTGATACATATTATTTTAGAATTCACTTCTTCGAGAAATTGAAAATGCAAAAAAACAAGTAGAAGAACTTCAGCATGAAAAGGTATAATACACTTTTGAAATATTATATTGGGAAATGATTGCTGTATTGCTGTATAGAAGAATCAGATTTGAATTTGAAGCTAATTTTTACTCAAGACTTAACACACTTCTGGATATGTGAAGTGACTGGCTCTGTTGGCAATTCGCCAAAGGTTAAAGATTGCACAGAATTTTTATACTGTTGTGTGTCTGACCTTGAACACTGAAAAGAGAAATGCTTTTAATTTTGGGTAGATTCCTATAAGTTGTTTTTCTTAAAACATTGGGTTTCATGAAATGCTTGTTTGACTGATTAAAATGTTTTAAGAACTGAGGGGCAAGGAGGGAAATATTACTGGACTTGGCTGTGCCTTTGCAATAGCAACTTTGGTGTTTTGTTTGCCCTGGAATGGACAAATTCCCTTCTTGAGTAATAATGGTAGGGCCTTTCATTTCTTTGCCTCCTTAAGCAGTGGCAAATGATTTTTGTGGTCAGGCCATCTGTTCTGAAATAACAAATACTTGCTATTGTGTATTAAATCACAGGTGTACTGCGTTTCCCCAAATCATTCTAGTAAGTAGCTAGGCCAAACTGTAGAGGCTGTGCTGCTGTAATAAAATGAAGAAGGCATTCAGAATATTTTGCAGAATGTGCTTTGAATTTTTGTATGTGTAGGCCAGCAGTTTTCACACAAGGCACAGATATTCATCATCAGCTGTTTCTTTAATTGCTTTCTCATTCATTGAATTTCTCTGTTGTTTAAATTTAGAGTTTCTAGAGCATGTAAAAATCTCCAAGATAAAAGTGAATGCATTTAGAAACTTTTGTGTACAGTTTGAAAAATATTATTATTAAATATTATCACTTAATTAAGTGATAATAAAACATTCATTTAGTAGCTATTTTAAAACATACTGTCTTTACCTAAAGTCACAGTCTAGATGGGCAACAGAATTGTTCTTGGACACCCTTTTTTGATGGTGCTGTATGGTGTGTACCATTAACATTTTAAGTCATTGAAGGCTATGTTTTAAAATCTGTTCTTTGAGTTTCGTAGAAATGAGATTAAAAAAATAAATGTTACTTTATAAAGCAGTATTTGACACAGAATTTTTTTTGAAGCATATTATGTATTTTATCTATTTATTTTTACAGGATCAACTTGTATTGAATGTTGAAGCATTAAGGGCTGAAAATGACCAAGTGAGACTCAGAGCCACATCACTTCATCATAGGTACCAGCACATAATTCTAGTCCAGTTTTTCTAATTTCCTTAAGGTTACTTTTAAATGTAATTTTGACTCTTATAGCTGAAAATACTTTAATCATAGCTATAAAATCTATTCTTTATACAGCATATTAAGCAGTTTTTATACTGCTTAAATAAAGATTGGCACTGGTGGGACAATAGGAATCATTTGGGTGGGTTTTTTGGTTGTTTCCCCCTTCCCTCTACCTTCATAAGGATAAAATGTTTCTTTGTGTTCTAGCCGACCAGATTTCAGATACCCTATGACATCTTTGTCTGTGGCTGACAGTCATGCAGACTCCTATGGCACCTCATCAGTGTTAAGGCGTCCCCAGAAAGGACGCTTGGCAGCTCTCAGAGATGAACCTTCAAAGGTAACAGAACTCTGAAACTAAAACAAAAACAAAACTCTGGTAACCAAACAGATTAGATGAGGCTAATCAATCACAAGGAGCTCTTAGAAGTACAAAGCAATAAACTGGTAAATGTATCCTGTTTTACTGTGCAATTATCAATGCACAGCTACTAATATTTTTAATTTTTAACAAATAACTGAAAAATTACTATATTAAGTCCAATTTATATTAAGTATAATAAAACTGTAATATAATTTGAAACACTCCTAGTTTTGTGTCTGTACACTAGTCTGACTTTTCACTGTTCTGCAAGCATTTCAAGTCCCTTTCAGGGCATGTAAGTTATCACCACATAAAGCTGATTCCAGAATTCTCATTGGATTTGATAGGAAAATTCTGCTGTAATTTAGAGTAGCCAAGATATGTGACACTAACTTATTCAGTGGGGCTGTTAGTTTTAAAATTTCACCTAAGTGTAAGATGGAACGTTTTCTACATTATAGATTATTTTTTTCTACATTTCTTTAAACACTGCTGTCTTGATGGATTTGTTCAGCATATAAGTGGGCTTTTAAAAAAACACTTTGAATGTCTTGAAAAACAATAGAAGTCATAGAATCGTTTGAGTTGAAAGGGACCTTAAAGGCCATCCAGTTCCAACCCCCTGCCATGGGCAGGGACACCTTCCACTAGACCAGGTTGCTCCAAGCCTCATCCAGCCTGGCCTTGGACACTTCCAGGGATGGGGCATCCACAGCTTCTCTGGGCAACCTGTCCCAGTGCCTCCCTACCCTCTGAGGAAAGAACTTCTTCCTGATATCCAATCTAAACCTCCCCACTTTCAATTTAAACCCGTTACCCCTTGTTCTGTCACTACAGGCCCTTGTAAAAAGTCCCCCCCAGCTTCCTTGTAGCCCCTTCAGGTACTGGAAGGTGCTATAAGGTCTCCCCGGAGCCTTCTCTTCTCCAGGCTGAACAAGCCCACCTCTCTCAGCCTGTCCCCAGAGCAGAGGGGCTCCAGCCCTCGGAGCATCTTCGTGGCCTCCTCTGGACTCGCTCCAACTGTCATGGTTGGAAATGTCATGGTTTTTTCCCATGTGAGTTTAGATTTAAAAAAAAAAAAAAAAAATTTTTAATTGATTTTGTTCTTTTAGGTTCAGACTCTGAATGAGCAGGACTGGGAGCGAGCCCAGCAAGCAAGTGTATTGGCAAATGTGGCACAAGCATTTGAAAGTGATGTTGATGTTTCTGATGTAGAGGATGACAGGGAGACCATATTCAGTTCGGTAGATCTGCTCTCACCAAGTGGTCAGGCTGATGCTCAGACTTTGGCCATTATGCTTCAAGAACAGTTGGATGCAATCAACAAAGAGATCAGGTATGGTCTATCTGCTGTTAAGTTTTTGATTAAAGTGAGTTTCTGTGACACTAGAAATCCTTTTTGTGTGGTTAGTCAGAAAATGGTGGTTGCCCATTCAGTTTTCTGGTTGGGGAGGGGAGTTGACAGTAAGTAGTTCGTAGTACTCTTTCTGGTTCTTTGTCTTCAGTCCCGTTTATGGAAGGGATTGTGTATTACTAGTTTGACAGAAACCCCTGCATAATGGTAGTAGTGTAAGTAGTAGTATTTGCCAATTTTTCCAGTTTGGATTAGAAGGTTTTTCACTGTGGCTGTGTTTGCTGCTTCTTTCTAGTGCCTGAGTTGGCCGTTCTGTTTATATGGTACTTGTTTAAATGTTATGTTTCTCTGAAATTTTTTGTCTTTTAGACTTATACAGGAAGAGAAGGAAAACACAGAGCAGCGTGCAGAGGAGATTGAAAGCAGAGTGGGTAGTGGCAGTTTGGATGCCCATGGCCGATTCCGGTCGATGAGCTCCATTCCTCCTCCTTATGCAAGTGGCTCACTTGCTGGTTCTTCCCCACCTGGCAGTGGCCGCTCCACCCCCAGGCGGATTCCACATAGTCCAGCTCGGGAAGTGGACAGACTAGGTATCATGACGCTGGTAAGTATCTGTTAACTTCAACTTTTCGGAGGAGTGTTCCTTTTCTCTAGGAAATGGGTTGTTTGATTTCCCTTTCCTGTCCTTCTTACTCAGCTGTATTTTTCCTTTCTCTAGGTTTTTCTACTGCTTCCTTTCAACTTCTATAAAAAGTGTAAGATACAGTCATAATGATTAGGAAAAACGTTCAGAACTCAAGTCTATTATTTGGTCAACATCTCATGCCTAAGTATTTTGTCTGTTATTATGGTCTTTGTTCTGACTCCTCTTCCTAGAAGAAGTAATGTTGTCTTTTCAACCCCTGGTACAGCAACCAGTTTCTCCCTCTGCTTTAAACTTTATTTTTAGCAGTCCACTATTCCACTAAATACTCAGCTAAAAAGTGACTTGCATATATTGCATTAATCTTAAAGATTGTAGAGGTTTAATGCAGCTGTTTAATGAGTAGTGTCTTGGTTTAGCCTACTAAGACCAGCAGGTAAAAAGTATGTTAGACGTAGTAGTTGATGAAGGAGTAGTGGTTCAGTGAGTAAGAGAGATACAGTCTTTTGACATTCAGATGACTGCTTAGAAAGATTAATCCTTCTAGCAGCTGCTTTATGCATGTAAACCTATCTGTAAAAACAAGATGCAAGTTTCCCACTTTTTTGGTTTTACATCAGTGTTAAGCAAACCTAATGGTTTCTCGTATTTGGAATACCTTTCACTCAGGAGCTCCTTGGATACAAGCATTTATTTGCAAGCACTCTCCAGGAAAGGCTCCTTCTCTAACTTAGCTCTAGATACATTACTTTTGCGTATGCATTTGGAAACTACTTACTTGTTGTATATGCAACACCATATTTTATATACCGTATTGTCTTGGATGACTGCTCTTGGATCATGCCTATGCTATACCAGTCAGTAGAGAAGGAATGCAGTCAGCCACTGTAAGAGCAGGGGGACTGTGAATAGCTGACTTGACTCATTTAGGTCTCTTAGTTGTTTTTAAATGCTCTGGTATTTCAGCTAACTACTTTTGCTGGCTTTTTAAAATTAATGGGTGTGTATACCGAGAAGTCTATTTCTTTATAAAAAGGAATAATTCTGCCTATCTGCATTTAAAAAAAAAAGTCATTCTACTAGCTGTAGCCGTATGTCTGGGCTCAAGCACACTTCATTTACAGAAACTAAAAAATTTTAAAATGAGAAGTGCTTTATGTTCTAATTTTTCACAGTAATAAGTAGTAAAGCTAAGCACTGCTCTTACGGAAAACCATGAACAAATTTAAATGGCTGTTTTCATGAAAACCAGATCAGAAAAATGTGTGTCTGAGGTTAAAATTTAACATAACTGAACAAAGGTAAAATGATTAAGTTCACCTTAGATCGTAAGAATGCACTCAAATGCACTTGATCCATTGTTTGCAGTTGTGTTTGTCTGATGTTTTAGTACCTGGCAACTGATTTGAGAAAGCTTTTCTGAAAGCAGGAAAACAAGCTATGCTTCTGGAATTACAGAACAAGAGCTTTCTAGAAACTTTTGGAACAGCTATGATGGATTATGACCGGAAGCATTTGTGGGGCTTTCTTGTTTTACTGGAAAGTTGCATTAGTTTGAGCTTGACAAGCAACATTAGCGTAATGCTAACTACAGTAGTGATGCTAGGCAGTTAGCTGAAAACCCCTCATGATTAAAATTAATTAAAAAGCATCAACATGATAAGTTGTGACACCCAGAGCTTTCTTGAACAGCTCTTGTGGATGGTTTTCATTCCATATGGTAAACATTTTCATTGTTATGAGTTATCAGATTTACGAGATTAAAGATCCAGCAAGGATAAAATGAGTCTGCTGCATTTTGTCTAAGAACTTGAGGAGGAACTGGATCATCTTTAAATGTCCCTTCCGACCCAAACCCTCCTAGGATTCTATGAACTTCATTAACGCAGTATTCTACAGTCAGATGGAACAAAACTTCATGTTAATTCCGCGTAGTTTGAGTGTATTCTAAATTAAAAATGATAAAAAGTTGTCATTTGTGGGAGGGAAACAACACAACTTCCCCAACAAATTTCCAAGGAGGCTGACTTTGGTTTTGGTTACAGCCATTGAAATAATTTGTCACCAAATACACTGACAATTATTAAACAAGTTATCTCAATTAAACTTTGTCAGCGTCAGTCTGAATTACTTGGTAACTTGTTTACGTAGCTCAGGGTTGCTGCCTTGCTCTGCGCACTGGCAGAGGCGTGAAGTACCTAAGAAGTGAGGTACAGTGGCTTCTGGAGCGTATGGAGGATAAAATGAAACTGGTGGTAGACTCTTGCTGAAACATTCCAGCACTTTAAACTTAGTAAAAAGAACACCATTACTGTATAGAAATCAGCTGCTGTTGGCACTCTTTTCACAGTTCAAGTATGTCTGCTTTTTGCGCTGTGTCGGAAACAACCGAGGCAGTTGCTGAGGCGTGAGAAGGGACTAGTGCAGAAAACGTATGAAGCCTGCTGTGGCTACCGTGTAGTGTTACAGTTCAAGGCAAGTCCTTGACGTGTGACTGGAAATCCTGTCACTTCTAAAAGCAACACCTTAGGCCCCCATGAACTTTAGTGTTTTTCTTGCTGAAAATAATGCATGTTTTCTGTGCTAATTTCTCTATGGGACCAACACACTGAAGTACCTACAGCACTTTCATAGGTAAACAATGACAGGTCTTGATTATTTTTCTGTTACATCCCCCCCTTTTCAGGGATACATTTAAGTAATCTCTGATTTGAAGAGTACTTCATACTCTGTACTTATCTCTGTGCCATTGCCATAATTGTTATTTATATTCTCCCTAAAATGTTTTGTCTGTAGTATTTGTTTTCGTCTGTGCTACAGTTTACAATAAATACAGCTTTTCCAAATTTCTTTTCTTTGCATGCATCTGTCAGCCTAGTGATTTAAGGAAACACCGTAGAAAGGTAAAAATCTTTAGTTTGTTTACTGGTGTGACTCTCTTCATCTCCTTCCCTGTCCTCAGACTCATTAATGGATAACAGGAACATGAAAGAAAGTATTTGCAGGGTAACCCTGTGATAAAGCAAGATTCTCTTTAATATTGAATTTAATATTGAATGTATTGAATATTGAAATAATGGTTTATCATCTCAGCATAAGTGTGGATTTGTTTTGTTGTTCATTGTTGTTACTTGGCTTTTTTTGCTGATGTGGGGGACTGTGTTGTGTTGCTTTGTTTGTAACAACTATTTTATCTTCATGAAACAATATTTAATTTTAAAGATCTCTTAGTTCACACACAAATAAGTCTTTAATTTCTGTTATTCAAACTTGGAGATAAGCCATAGCCACAGGTATGTGGGAACTAACTTCATAGAATTGGTAATCTTGCTAATGATTGCCTAGGCACATAAGTGAGCACCAAGGTGCCTTCTTTTCACAGGACTCTCTGGTTTTGTCTTTGCACTTGCTTAAACTGAAGTCAGGTGTATTCGTTTTCTGGTGCTGATGACATTCCTTTAGTTCTCAGCTCTGTGAATTAATAAAATCTAAGGGCTACTTGTTCATTTCACCAGCTAACACTGAAATTTAATGGTTTGTCACTGAAGGTAACAGAAAATCCAGAAAGAAGTCAAACAAAAAAGATAGGGAACTGCAAAATGGTAAGGGAGAGAGTAATCCTTTAACACTGAAATAATTAATTTTTCCCTTCAGTGTTTTGTGTAGTATTATCACATTTATTTTTTGTCATTTCCAACTAACCCCTCAAGTTTTCATTCATTTTCCTTTAGTCTCCAGCTTCTAGAGAAGAGGTACGAGATGATAAAACCACAATAAAATGTGAGACATCACCACCTTCTTCACCTCGATCTTTGCGTTTGGACAGAGTCCAAAAAGGATCTTTGCATACAGTGAGCCATGAAGATATCAGGGACATTAGAAAGTAAGTAGCTGTGGATAAGTCAGATCTACCAGTAATTTAGTATTTCAGATCATCACAATAAAATCCTAAACCTGCAAAGCTGTTCAGTTTACAGGATTGTAAACTAGATATTCAAGTGTTTCGCAGGAGTAAAGAGAATTTGTAATGTCGTCACCATGTAAATGGGTGATGATGTTACATAAACAGTAAGAATACAGATTTTGTTAATGATTAGAAATGTGAAGAGTTCTTCTGGCACTCAAGGTCTGCATTAAGTTTGCTTCATGTTCAGGAAAAGAACGATAAGAATTTCAGTTGTCTTTCATAGATTGGAATTCAGCTATACATATAGAAATAAGTTGCAAAATTACCATCATTTTCATTGACAGACCTTCTTTTCAGAGTACCTGAGTGTCTGGGATGGATTTTCAAACTTCTGTTTGCTCCAATTTGTCAGGAACTTGTGTTGCCAACTTTGGCCTCTCCGAATTGCACTTTTAAACACTTTATGTCTTAAAGTAGGAATTGACTTGTTCCATGCTGTAGCATATAAATATTATATCCCTTCCTTTCTTGCATGATTTAGTTGTTTCCACTCTTCTTTCTATTTAATGACATGTATTGGAGGAGATGAGTTTCTCTTCATGACTCATTAAAAGCTGACATTAGATGTCATTAGTGGGTTACTGAGCTTTTGTTAACTCGATCAGGAACCTGAATCTGTCTTCCACTGTTATGCTAGTGAGTTTGTTACAGCTGTGCTCCTTCATGACTTTCTTTGCACAGTTCAACAGGCTCACAAGATGGGCAAACAAGTAATCCTAGCAGCAGCAATAGTAGCCAAGATTCCCTTCATAAAGCCCCCAAAAAGAAGGGGATCAAATCCTCTATTGGCCGCTTGTTTGGCAAGAAGGAAAAGGGACGACCTGGACAAACAAGCAAGGAAACATTAGGACAAGGTTGGTTTATGCCTCCCCCCGCCCCCTTCCCCCTCCTTTTGTTGGTTGGCTTTTGTTTTGGCTGTTTATTCACAGGCAGAGGGTGAAAGACTCAATTTTATGATGTATGTAGCAGTATATCCGTATTTATGACTGATTATTTTGATGCTGATGTACAGCATTTTTCAGAACTGGTGACACTGGTAGGTTCTTTTATCAGCGTAGGATGCAAGTTCAGCTACTCGGGTATTGCTGCGGTGTAGTCTCCTGTAACCAGGTTATTGGATGTTGCTGAACTGTTAGGGCTTGATGGGTGAAGCAAAAAATGTCATCTGTGTCTCAGAAGTGAAAAGAGGCTTTTGTTAGCGTTGACACCAATGCGTCTTCCCTTTGGACCCAAAGAAATTCCCTTCAAACAAACCCCGCTGGCCTAGTAAGTGCTGTGGTTACCTGTCTCATGCAGTTCTCTGCTTAAAGCAGTACTCTTGATGCTGACACCAGCCGTAAGTGGTATGGGCACACGGGAATTCATCTTACAGGTGGCTGAAGTGTGAGGTTCTCTGATTCCAGACGGTTTCAGTCAGCACCTCTGAGTCTATACCAGTCTGGTTTTCCTATTTTTATACACCATATTGATGGGTATGTATTCAACTAGAAAAGAGAGTGATAGCTGGGATTGGAGGTTTGGTTTTGTACATTTTGGATCAGGAATATTACAGAGGATTAAGTTCAGGAAAGCAGTAGTGATTTTTGAGTTATAACTGGCCAAAATTTGAGAAGATAACAAGACTGGGTTTTGCTTTGTGTTTTTTTTTTGTAGTTGGCATGGCAGAAGCAGATAGTTCCTCTCAGGACACACTAGGTCTCAGCAAGCTTGGAGGTCAGGCAGAAAAAAACAGGAAAATGCAGAAAAAGTAAGTTACTGAATATTTTTAATCCTCTGTTGTTAAGGTATTGCTTTATTTGAAAATGCTTTCTTGTTTTGTTCTCAGGTATTTTTGCCTAGTAAGGTGCTATGACTATTAAGCCCCTCTAGAATTTTTTTCTAGTATTTATTTCTAGAACATTAATATTAGTGTAGGTTGTGGTAAGTTTGAAACTAATCTCAGTGCTGAAGGCTTATTGTTAAAATGCTGTAATAAACAAACATGGACATAAAAATGGACTCTTATCAAACCCTCCCCCAGATTCATTATATTTAATACCTGCTTTGTGCTTGTTTAATTTGGAAGATTTCCTGAAGTTGTCTTTGGCTTTTACTTGCATTTGAGCTGACAGAGTGAAAAAGTGAGATATTTTGCACAGACATCCTTCTGTATGCACTTGCTGGTTCCTTTCTAGTAGGTGACTCTTTCCTTTTGTGCTGCAGTTGCTAACTGCTGCTGTGTTCACTCATTTTTTCACTTCTGTTTAAGGTTCTCTTGATATTTTCTCTCATATTTTAACAGCCAAAATCTTTTCTTTGTACCATATATCCCTGATTTCCTGGGTTTTTTTTTATAAACTGTGACTATTTCCTTTTGTCATGGCATCTGTTAGATATGGAGTTACCTTTTTCTAGTCATGAGATCTTCTTCAGTGTGTCCAAGAAAATCTTGAGTTTAATGTTCACCTTTTGAGTATCTATTGCATGGTTTGTTGTTCCAACACTGACACAATATGAAGCAAAGACTATAATCATAGTTGAAAAGTAGATATTGCTACTAGTAGAAATCTTGACTTGATACTTATATGGTAATACAGGAAATACTCAAATTTCTGTAAGGAGGATCAGGCATTCTTTGCATTTTTCTACTCAAAGCTGAGGCATGTACTTAGCATTTCTGTTTTTTCTGTTCAGCTGTGTTTACTCTCTGTCAAAAAAGTTGACCAAGATCAGACATGTCTTGCTTTTTGACTTGCCTTCTGAAGACAGCATAGCAAATGTTGAAAAGAAAGCGTGCTGATTTTCTCTTTGCGAGAGAGATCTCTTGCAGTTCCTAAGTCCTGTTAACAAACCGGAATGATGCCTGGTGACTGCTAATGAAAACCAGCAGTGTGTTGGTTTGAAAAGTCAGAGGGGAATGCGGCTTTGTTTGTGTAACAGGATGCTTAGCTGTGTTTCTTCAGACTGTCACACTGAAGGCAACCGTATGTTACTATGATCTGGTATTTTCCCTTTTCTTCAGAGCTTTAAAGTTGTACCACATCTTGGTTGAATAAACAGCTTTAGTCTGATCATACCTCAATAGTGGTAGGCCTGTTCTTTGAACAGCGTAGATCTTTCTCAGTACCAGCAACAAATTTCATTCTAGAGTAAAACAATCCATACTGTCTTACTTTAATAACTGCAAAAATTGCAGTTGCTACGCAGTTGAGATAAATCATGTCTCTGTATACATTCTGCCTTTCAAAAGTTTACTGGTATTACTTAAAGTATACCTTATGCAACCTGTGGCTGCATGTTGCTGGTTGCTTCAAATGATGGTATCTATATTAGACAAATGAAAACTAGTTTAAAATTGCCTTGCCTGGCTATTAAGTATGAGCATGTGCTTATTCACAGCAAGGTCTCTGATTTAGCTGTTTCACTGAAAGTGGGTATGAAACAAGACTGTGTTGATGAAGATATGTATCATAATGTTTAGTTTTATCACTTACCACAGAGAGCAGCAGCAGGGCCCTTTGAGAACTTCCATGAGAAGCAAATCTTACCATTTAAAAAAAAATCCCAGCATGATACATTAATCCACCTGTTTCAGAACCCGGACAGGTATTCTCAACGTAGGAAGAAATAATATCACAGAGTATCAAAGATTCCTTGCTGCCTTCCTGAGATGCTCCTTATTGAAAAGTGGTAAAGCTGCCCTGAGCTGCTTTTCACTTAGATATTGGAGCAGAGTGAGTTTAAAACAGAATCTTGAGGCTGATGGTTCCCTTAAAAATCTTGTATTCAGCGAAAAGAATTGCAGTTACCTGAATGCTTGGGCCAATGACTGCTATTTCTATTTATAGTTGTTTCTAATCCCCATTTGCTTGCTTATCTTTGATTTCTGCATGCATGCACACATGCAGCCAAGAGGCTGAGGGCAGTATTCACTGTCTTTACTAACAAAAAACCTATTTATAGTTACAGAATTAAATTACAGTATGCATTATTTGTCTGTTTTTGTATGCCTTTAAGTTCAGTTTAATCCCAGTTTTATGTTTTTCCTTCATTGTTTTATTTTCCTTTTGTTTACCATTTGATGTGGTAGTGCAAAATCAGGGTAAGTTTATATTTATTTTCTTAGGATTGTTGTGAAATGATAAATCTCACTTGGATTTTTTAGCAATATAGTAAAAGCTCTAACTTTTTTGGAAAAAATAATTGAGATGTGATAATAGTTTCAAAAGAATTTATTGTGAAAATGTGTTGCTGGAAAAGAAAAATCCAGTTTTGTCTAGTTCAGTGTGAATGCTAGTTCAGTGCCTTGTCTTAATTTGCATGGTGTGTATTTTCATAATGGAAATATTAAACCCTACTTAGATGGAATTAGTTTTGTAATTGGGGTTTTGAAAGTTGTTTGGTAATAGTAGATATTTGTGGCAGTTCATTTCCGAGGTAGATATATTTCTGTAAAAGCATTGCTCTGTGTCTACCCAACTTGTTTTTAGTGTGTTGTTCATGCTGCTCATCATCTTTGTGAGCTGTACTATTTGCAGTGTATTTGTTTTTGGTGTACAATGCAACAAACTTAATACTGTATTCATCAGAAAGGGAGGCAGCCCTAAATTGAAGATAACTCCTTAAAAAAAGTTACACACAGTTTACTACATACCTGCCATCAATATGTAATAAGGTGGTTAACTTTCCATCGAGGCTTTGCCTGAAATTAGTCAATTTTCATCTCATTTTTCTGCTGTTGCCTTTCAGTTTTTACACATTGCAACTCTGCACGTCTGTAAGTATCACTCTCTTTACCACCTTCCCCACAGTGTTCTCCTACTCTCAACTTCTTCCAAATCACTTCTCTTCCGTTCCATCCAAGAAATCTGGAATATAGCATTCTGCTTTGGCTGCAAATTGTGGATTCAGCCATTCCCCTGCTGTCTTAATCCAGTGACAGAGTGGTATTGCTCTGGGCTGCTTTGTTTTCCTTGTGGGGTTAGCGTATGCTTGCCTGCCAAGAGCTGTTCTAAATACAAATCTTTCAAATGTCTTTAAGGGGCCTTGTGTGTTCACTACTGCATCAGGCACCTGTGGTTTTGACATCATGTCTCATCCCATATGACCGCAGTTTCTTTGTTCTCTACAGCTGGTGTTAGATGCCTTTTGAATGTGTCTAACAACAAGTGTTCCCCTCTTGCAGCAGCACATTTGGTCTCCCATTCCGAGTGACGTTCAGCCAATTTTTTATTACGTCTGTAGGCGTCTGTCCTTTGGTTTTGTTACCTAAGAGTTATTCCAGTAGCTAGCTACTCCTTTGACATTGTTTTGTCCTCATGGTGCCAGCTTTATACCATCTGTTAACACTGCCAGTGCTACTGTAGTATTTTTTTACCTTACAAAGATAGGAGGCTGGATTTTTGCACCTTCTTGGATGGCCTGTGAAACTAAACTGGTGTGTCAGTTGTGATCTTTACATAACCTGGTCATGTGTTGCTGGAATGCACCAAGTTTCTTTGTGCAGTTGGAAGGGAATTACTGAAAAAGTGAAGTTCCCTGCTATAGGAGGAAAAAAAAAACCCAAAATGCATCATTTTACAGATAAAACAGCAGCTGCCTTTGAATTCTTCCCATGAGATGATTTGAGCCTGTGCTGTCTCGGGCTTTCAGTTTAATGATTTCCCATGCAAGCGTCTCTTTCATAAGAACAAATTCCAGAACTGATTTTCTACTTCATGGATGTGTTCCTCTTTGGATCCATTGAACAATTTCTGCATAAAGTTACGTTATAAGCATTTTTGTGTTGTTTGCTTCTGTTTCTGCGTGTTTGCCTCCCTCAAGTAACGCTTCCTTCCAGTGACATGGTTGTTTTCTGCCTGCAATACCACCATGTGGCTGAAGTTTGCATTGTTATCTTTCCTTAACACTTTTGATACATTCCCTGTACTGCTCATCTCCAGATGATTTGCTGTTTCGTGCTTAACTTTGAAGTATGCAGGGAGACTTGTAAAACTGCCAGATACTACGCTGCTGCTCTCTGAATGATATAAATACCCCAGCAGCTTTATAAGCTGGGGGAAGCAGTGATCACACACTTCCGTGGGGTCATCCTAGTCAAACCAGGGGCTTCTTTGGGCATATATGTGCTCTTTCATCACTAGTGGGCCTCCCTCACTCCACAGCCGTGCTGCCACAACCACCGAAAAGGATGACAGACACAAATTTTGAAGTTAAACTACATGGAAAAAACCCAATGTCTTCCTTTCTGGCAAATACAGTATTAAGCATCTTATTCTGTTCTTACAAAGAAGCATTTTATAACATCTTAATTTTTCCTCATTTTTGAAACAACAAAGTGAAGCAAAACGAAATGTGTTCAGGGCTAGTGATTTTGTGGGGTTAATGTAATGCTTCCTGCAGTAGCAGGAAAATAGCTGATCCTTTATTCCTAATTCAAATATATATATAACTTTTCAAAAAGTGTACAAATACGTATTAACTTACCTTAACAAATAACTTAGTCTTCTTAGTGAAATCTAGCTATTGAGTTGCTAGCTGTTGAATGCTATTTCCGCCTCAAGTGCTGGGTCTAAAAATGGGTACATTAGAATAGTCATTTGTAACCGGTTATCTGGCACTTCTTTCCTTCCTCCCTTTTGTCCACTCCTATGCGGCTTGTTTAGTTAGCATAAAGTATTGGGAGGTTCTTCTAGAGTAAAAGGGATTTATTGGTGGAGAATTGCTACCTATTGATAAAACAGTTGCTAGTTTATTACTTCATTGATTATTTTTATATTTAATTATCTACCAATATAACATGAGGACCCTAGGTATGCTGGGCTGTCTTTTTAAGAGTGCAGAATACTGCATATCTGTTTTGCACTGCTAGCAGAGCAAGCTACTAGTTAGTAACCCCTTTTCATGATGTCATGTGTGGTAGGTTTTTTAACATCTGTAGCTTTAAGTATTTTATCATCGTTAGATGTACTTAACGATGCAGTTCTGAAGGTGAGGAGATTTTGTTTTAAATCATGAGAAAATCATGAATGAATAACATAGGATCCTGAATCTGTAGTATTGCTGCTTATCTTCTTAATTCTCTGCTTGCAGGCATGAATAAAAACCTTAAAACAGTAGAAACTGTCCAATTTGATGAAGTTGTTTTTTCTAAACTTCTGGTGACAGTGGGTGGAGACTTAACATACACAGCTGGTTTCAGAGGCAGCTTAAATATACTTTTTTCAGACTTCAGCCATTATTTCAGACAGACCTATCCAAGCAACATGTATGCTTTATACCTCCAACACTAGGTTTTGTCTCTTGGTTTGCCAAACACTTTTGGTAGCTGTTTATAGGGTTTTTGTGAGCTTCCATTGTTTCTGTAAGCTGAATTGTCAATATTAAACTTCAGTCTCTTCTGTTTCAGAATAACAAAGAAATGGTGTCGTCATAGGCGATGAAAGCTGAGTTTCAGTACGCACTTTCAGAATATAGGTGCTCTGAAAATAATGGTTATCTGAAGCTGTACCTGAAATTTTGACAGGCTTGCTGTCCCAGCCTGAAATTCAGCAATTAAAGGGTTACTGTCCCAGTTTCCAGCCTCGACAGCTTGACGGACAGTACCATTTCAATGATTTCCACAGGTTTCAAATCTACATGTTGAGGAGAAATAACTACTTTGGTTCAGTCTAATTATCTGGACAGAAAATTACAGCAGTTGGGAATCTGACTGACAAAATAGGTCTGACATCTTCACCTTGTGTTGGCAGTGCTGGTTACAGTGTCAGTAGCAGTTTCCAGCACAAATTTCCAAAAGGCAAGATCCAGCATCTCTGCCACCCTGAAATTTCCTATCCACTTTAGCTTATGTCACTGTGTAGTCTTTCTGTGTGTGCTGTGGCTGCCTTGGGTATCTTACAGAAGGCTGAGGAAGTTAGCTTTCTTCCTGTTGGAAAGAAGATAGTAAATTGAATGGAGTGTTTAAATTGTAGTATCTAGTTATAACTAGTTTCTCTTTGTTATTAATAACTTTCTCTAATTGTAGGCATGAGTTGCTAGAGGAAGCCAGAAGACAAGGTTTGCCTTTTGCACAGTGGGATGGGCCTACTGTGGTTGTGTGGTTGGAGGTGAGTTGTCCCTCTAGAATAAACAAACCCTTCTCAAGATTTTAACATATTTTTGGAGCCAGGAATGCTTTCCAGATCCTGCTTATGTCCTTTTTTTTGTGTGTTTCAGCTGTGGGTTGGGATGCCAGCCTGGTATGTGGCTGCTTGCCGAGCAAATGTGAAAAGCGGCGCTATCATGTCCGCCTTGTCTGATACAGAAATACAGCGTGAAATTGGAATTAGTAATCCTCTGCACAGACTGAAGCTGAGGTTGGCCATTCAGGAAATCATGTCACTAACAAGTCCATCTGCCCCTGCGACCTCGAGGACGGTAAGGAAAGAACCATTAGAATTTCCAAAAGCTCTACCGTAAACGTGTGACCGAAAGGATTTGAGCTTGGAATAAGAATTTCTGGAAACTTTAACGTGTTCCTCTACAATTTAATTATAGCATGCTTGTTCCTTTCATAGAAATTGAATTAATAACTACTTTTTCTTTCCTAAGGGAAAGATTAAGTTTATGTCAGTGTAAGTATATAATCCAAAATATTTAGTGTACATGTTATTTGCTTCATCTTTTGGCCTAAGAAGAATTTATCATACAGTCGAAGTACACATGTGCTTGCAGAAATGAGCAAAATTGTTGGAGGCTCTTTTACTTGGTTTATAAGGCCACGAACTCCAAATTATGATTCAGCCTACGTGGACTAGAAATCCACCTGTCTCCAGGGTAAACTTAGGCACTTAAAGTTAGTGGGAATTCCTTCTTGTGAGTCTGTCTGCCCTGCAGTCTGAAGTTATTTCTGAGATTCCTGGGGTTACACACCAACAAATGCATTTTTCGGATTAGAGCAGAGTCAAGTGTTAGTTTACGCTGATGTCATTAATGGGCAATTTCTCATATTGAGTTTTGGTAATATCTTTCAAGAAAAATGATCCATGTTAATAGGCTTTTTTATTCCATGCCATTACTTTGAGTAGATAGGCCTGAACGTAAGACTCTAGAAACCACTGCTTTTGCCCGTGCCTGCTCCTTACATGTACCGATTGCTTATATGTTCTGCAACCTCTCCTCTTTGTTACTGCTTTCCTTTCACTGGATGGGATTGGTTCCCTGTGGGGTCATATTAGACCACGGGAAATGTCTGGGTAACACACGAAGAAATGGAAAATCTTACAGCCGCGCAACAAACGGTTAGTTTATAGTGTTGCCACCTCCTTAGAGTGCTTTTCCCACCTTTTGAACATTTGAATAAAGTGCCTTGGTTTTTTTTTTTTCCAAAATTAAT